CCGGGTTCCAGTCCCTCTTCCCATTTCCTTGACTCCCTGCACATCCTTTTCCCACACCAGAGCAAGCAAGAGTTAGACTTCCCGGGTTCCAGTCCCTCTTCCCATTTCCTTGACTCCCTGCACATCCTTTTCCCACACCAGAGCAAGCAAGAGTTAGACTTCCCGGGTTCCAGTCCCTCTTCCCATTTCCTTATGTGTATGGCTTTGAGTGAAGGCCTTCTCTCTGAGCCTCAGTTTCAGCATCTGTAAAACAGGAATAATGAATGCCATTTCTCAGGGTGGTTGCTGAGAGATGGTATGTAAAAGGCTTAGAAAAGTGTCTGTCCCAAAGCTGTTATCAATGCTGTTGCTATTTATTGCAGGTCTGTTATTACTGCAGGCTTCCACCCTATCACCAAGATCAGACCACCCTGCAGCAGCTGGGGGTGGAGTAAACCTTTCCCAAGGCATGCAGGGCTGGATAGGTCCCTACATGCGTAGAAGAAACACCTGCATGCCCTGGTGTCCCCCTCACCCAGCTCTGGAAGTCCCCACTGCTGTCTGACCTGTGGTGCCTCTATCTGCAGTATGTGCATGAGGGAGGTGTGGAGGACCTGGTGAGGCCCCTGCTGGCCATCCTGGACAGGCCCGAGAAGCTGCTGCTGCTGCGGGACATCAGGTGGGAGGAGGTTGCAGAGAGGGCTTGGGGGCAGGAAGGGGATCCCTGGTACCACCCCCAACCTCCCAGGGGCTGAAGGGCATCCTGGCACCTCTAGAACTGACACCCTGCCTGCCCCTCCCACCCCTGCTGTCTCTCACCCTCTCCCAGGAGTGTGGTGGCCCCCACAGACCTGGGCCGCTTTGACAGCATGGTGATGCCTGTGGAGCTGGAGGCTTTTGAGGCCCTCAAGAGCAGAGCAGGTCAGCAGTGGGAGGCGGGACTTCTGGGTCCCAGCCCTGCTGGGGATGGGGATGGGGATGGGACCCTGTGGTGGAGAGGGCTGCAGAGATTGCCGAGCCCCTTGAGCTGTGTCCCTCTGGGAGCCTGGCGGGGTGCCTTGCCTCTGACCTGTTCATCTTTCCAACCAGTCCGGCCTCCTGCTTTGAGACCAGCCCGGCAGGACACACCGCCCAAGCGTCACCTTATCACCCCCGTGCCTGGTCAGTCAGATCCCAGAGCCCAGGAGGGGCACAACCCTGGGGAGATTAGGGAAAGGAGGATGGGCCTTCTACTTCTTTCCCCACGGGGAGGCAGTTGTGGCTTCCAGGCACATTGCAGTCCCCTGAAGGAAAGCTCTTGTCCACCAGAGCCATTTTATCACATCCGCTGGTCACCACCTGTACTATTATTTACTTAATAGTTGGTTTGAAACCTGCTCACTTTTAAAATCTAGTCTCATTCTATGCAGTAATCTCTGAGAAATTACATTTGATGTGCTAGTCGTCTTTTTTCTTAGATACATTAAAATAGAATTGTAATGATTCCAACAGGAAGTATTAAAATGCAATTCTAGGCCGGAAGCGGTGGCTCATGCCTGTAATCCCAGCACTTTGGGAGGCTGAGGCGGGTGGATCGCTTGAGGTCAGGGGTAGAGACCAACCTGGCCAACATGGCGAAACCCCATCTCTACTAAAAATACAAAAATGAGCTGGGCTTGATGGCGCACGCCTGTAATCCCAGCTACTCGGGGAGACTGAGGCAGCAGAATCGCTTGAACCTGGGAGGTGGAGGTTGCAGTGAGCCAAAATTGCGCCACCGCACTCCAGCCTGGGCGACAGAGTGCGATTCCATCTCAAAAAAAAAAAAAAAAAAAAAAAAAAAAAAGCGAGTCTAATAGAACATGTTTGTCCGCCTACCTCATGGGTGGGCCGCACTGCACTGGTTCCTGAACAAACTCGGGCCTGGCTCTCACAGGCCCCACACAAACCAAAGCAAGGCCTGGGTCCTGGAGAGGTGGTCCAAGCTGGGAGGGGAGGAGTGGGCAGCTGACCTTGGCGCTCTTCCCCAGACAGCCGCGGAGGCTTCTACCTGCTGCCGGTGAACGGCTTCCCGGAAGAGGAAGATGATGGGGAGCTGAGGGAGCGGCTGGGGGGCCTCAAGGTCTCCCCGAGTGCCTCTGCCCCTCGCCACCCTCATAAAGGGATCCCCCTCTCCAAGACGTGCCAGTAGATGCCTTCACCCCCCGCCGAAGTGCCTGCACACCCCCTCCCCAGCCACCCCCTGTGGCTCCCCGGCCCCCGCGGCCTAACTGGCTGCTGACAGAACCCCTGAGCCGAGAGCACCCTCCACATGTCCAGGTCCGGGGCCAGGCTCAGAGCCGCAGCCGCAGCCGCAGCCGCAGCCGCAGCAGCCGGGGTCAAGGCAAGTCTCCGGGTAGACGCTCCCCGTCCCCTGCGCCTACCCCTGCCCCCAGCATGGCCAATGGGCGCTACCACAAGCCTCGGAAGGCCAGGCCCCCTCTACCACGATCTCTGGATGGGGAGGCAGCCAAGGTGGGGGCCAAGCAAGGGCCCTCGGAGAATGGAACTGAGGGGACGGCCGAGGAGGCAGCCATGAAGACCCCCAGTGGCGAGCTGAAGACAGTGACACTGTCCAAGATGAAGCAGTCCTTAGGTGAGTCCAGGTGGGACTGGGCCTGGCAGGGGACACTAGGAAGCCTGGGCCCAGGAAAAGAATCTGGGGTATTGAGCCAGGCGCGGTGGCTCACGCCTGTAATCCCAGCACTTTGGGAGGCCGAGGCTGGTGGATCACTTGAGGTCAGGAGTTCAAGACTAGCCTGGGCTACATGGTGAAACCCCGTTTCCACTAAAAATACAAAAGAATTAGCTGGGCGTGGTGGTGGGCGCCTGTAATCCCAGCTACTCATAAGGCTGAGCAGGAGAATCACTTGAACCCGGGAGGCAGAGGTCGCCCTGAACCCAACTGAGATTGCGCCTCTGCACTCCAGCCTGGGCGACAGAGTAAGACTCTGTCTTGGCCAGGCGCGGTGGCTTACACCTGTAATCCCAGCACTTCGGGAGGTCAAGGAGGGCGGATCACCTGAGGTCAGGAGTTCCAGACCAGCCTGACCAACATGGAGAAACCCCGTCTCTACTAAAAGTACAAAATTAGCCGGGCATGGTGGCACATGCCTGTAATCCCAGCTACTCGGGAGGCTGAGGCAGGATAATCGCTTGAACCTGGGAGGTGGAGGTTGCGGTGAGCTGAGACTGTGCCATTGCACTCCAGCCTGGGCAACAAGAGCGAAACTCCGTCTCCAAAAAAAAAAAAAGGCTGTCTCAAAAAATAAATAAAAGGGAATCTGGGGTATTGGGGTGTATCTGGGTGGGGTCTAGATTTGAGGGGCTAGGCTCTGGAGGATTTTGGAATGAATTGAGATTTGAGTAGTAACAGAATGTAGGGATGTGAGAGAAGTTGGGGCCTTGGGTTTGGGGATGGGATTCTAGGTTTCTCCAGGGAGCTTGCATTTTGGGGTCCGGCTGCACTCTCACAGTGTTTCTCCCCATCACTAGGCATCAGCATTTCTGGGGGCATTGAGTCCAAGGTGCAGCCCATGGTGAAGATAGAGAAGATCTTCCCTGGGGGGGCCGCCTTCCTCAGTGGGGCCCTGCAGGTGGGTGAAGCATGCCCAGGCCCACCCTAACAGCCCACAGCTGAAACCAGGCAGGAGATGGGCTGGCCATGCTCAGCTTCCAGCCAGACATGTTTAGCCCAGGTTGTGGGCGGAGGCTTGGGTGAGGGGGTTCAGATGAGCAGGATGAGCAGGCCCAGGGAAAACTCTGTCCCTCATGCTAGCCTGAGCCTGAGCCCCAAGGGACAAAGAGCCCTTGTCTGTGCCCCACCCTGCCCCCAACGACTCCAGGCACAAAAGTCTCATTGTCCATCCCCTCCACCCAGATGGGGGAGGAGTGTCCTCGTGGGTGGAGGTGAGAAGATGCTGCCTTCAGGTTGGGGGCTGGTGCAGGGTGACATGGGGAGGGAGGGATGTGACTCTCTCATTCCATCCTAGGCTGGTTTCGAGCTTGTGGCAGTGGACGGAGAGAGTCTGGAGCAGGTGACCCACCAGCGTGCAGTAGACACTATCCGTCGGGCTTATCGAAACAAGGCCCGGGAGCCCATGGAGCTTGTGGTCAGGGTCCCCAGGCCCAGCCCACGGCCCTCACTCTCTGACTCATCAGCCCTTACTGATGAGGGCCTTCCTGCTGACCACTCGCCTGCCCACCAACCCCTTGATGCTGTTCCAGTTCCTGCCCACTAGCTCCTAGAACCTCCCACCAATCCCCAGACTCCTCCCACCGATGCCAGGCTCCTCCAGCCAACTCCCAGCCCAGCCCCCTCCCCAGCCCTCCAGACTCCTGATTCTAAGCCTACACCCTCCCCACACATCCCATGACCCTTCCCCTAACCTCAGATTCCCCCACTGACTCCAACATCCCATTATCCCCAGGATCTCTTCTACCAACTTCCTCAGGACTCTCCGGCTCCTGCCTGCCCACCCTTCCTCCTCCCAGTGCCACACTGGTGGCTCACATCTTTCCACTTTCTTCCTTCCTCAGCTGTCACTAAGGCTCTGCCTTAGTGTCCAAGGACAAGGTGCTAGTGGGCAGCCTGTGTCACCCGCACTCACGACTCCCCTATCTCCCAAGCCAGGAAAGGGGTAAGAAACCCAAGGTCTGGACCTTGGGATTGGTGGGCACTTTCTCACACGCCGCCTCTTACTTTGTAAGTCATCCAAGCCTCCAGGGACACAGGCTGTCAGACAGGGCCCTCAAGGGGTCAACGTATCCATTCCTCAGCCCCAAGCAGCATTCTGTGCAAGGAAAAGGATTAAAGGCTTTTCTAGTCCCTGAAATCCTGAGAGACCATTTCATGTTGGGGTCCATTAAGACCTCAGACATTCTACTGGATTTGTCCTTCCTCCATCACCTTTTCTCCCCAAGAGAGCTCGGGGGATAGCCAGCAAATAGAGGGGGTGTGGGTCAAACAGTTCCTATACTCTTTATCCAGCGCATTCACATTATTTTAAACAAAAAAAATTTTTTTTAATTTTTTCTTTGGGTTTGTACAAGAAATTTACAGTGTGAAAAATATACAAGTGAAAACGAGGCCATAAACCTGGGTGAAGGGAGAGGCTGCTTGGTCACAAACACAAATAAACAAGACATTTCTGAGTTCTTCCTTTGGTCTGACTTCAGCCCCCTCCCTCCAGGAGAGAGGCTGCAGAGCTCGAACCTGGGAACCGAGCCCAGGCCCGGCCCTGTCCCCCAATGTGGGCAGGCACATCTGGAGCAGCTGGTGCCATCTGGCTTTCTCTGGCTTTGGGGTCAGGGGGAATGTGGAGAGGAGGGAGCCCCTTCTTCCTCCCAGCTCCCCTGGCTGGAGTGGGCTGGAAGCGCCTGTGAACAGGGTTGGCAGTGGCACTGGCAGCGATGGGGAATGAAGTGGGTAGTGACAGGAGCCTCTGGGTGACAGTGAACACGGGGACCTTCGAGCGGTCTGATCTTGCTCCTCCAAGTCAAAGGACCATCCCAAGTTCCTGGGCAGAATCCCAGAGGCCTGGATCCTAGGAGACAAGTGGCTTTGGGGCCCTCAGCTTTTGGGGTCATCCGTGGGCCCTGGGGCCTAAGTGGATCTGCAGCTGCTGCCCCTCTGGGAGAGCTCCCTGCAGAGCTGGGTGCCGAGGGCCCTAGATCTCAGTAGCAGTGATCTCCTCCAGGCAGATGCAGGGGGCCTGCTCAGCCAGGCCCAGCTCCGCAAGCTCCCGGGCCTCCAGCTCCAGGCTGAGCTGCTGCAGCTCCTGCTCTAGCTGCCGGTTGCGCCGGTACATCTGGATGTAGTTGTGCTGCAGCTGCTTCTGGTAGCGGATCACCTGCTCCTTCTCTGCCTGCCAGGCCAGCCGCTCCCCTTCAAAGCTGTCCCGCTGCTCCTCACCCCGCCGCCGCTCCCGCTGCAGCTCCACCCGCAATCGCTCCACCTGGGCCCGCAAGCTGCCCCCAACCCCGGCTGCTGCCCGCTGCACTTTGGCCTCATCACTCTCTGCCAGGAGGAATGGGTCAGCGGTGGCAGGTGGCACAGCGGGCTCCCGGAGTCCAGCCGCCTCAGCAATCCAACTGCCCAGCTTTCTCCCGCAGCCGCTCGGCTTCCTGGCGGTGTCGCTGCAGCTCCTGGGAACAGGCTTCCAGCTCCAGCTCCCGAGCTCGGGCGGCCTCCTGTAGACCCCGCGCACGGCCCTCACTGACCCGCAGGGTAGCACGGGCCTCCCGCAGTGCCACCCGCAGGGCCACCAGCTCGCTGCCCTTCTGCACCAGCTCTGCCTGAGACTCCTTCAGCTGCTGCTTCAGCAGGGAGATCTCGCCTGATTTCTGGCACACCTGGGGGTGGGAGGCAGTGGGGAAGGATGGTGAGGACAGGTTCTCCTGGGGGGACAGGCCCTGTGCATCATGCTGGGCATTCGGGAGGAGAGTCCATCTTTATCCCCATTTTATAGATGGAGACACTGAGGCAAGTCTAGTGACATGTCCAAGGTCATAGAGTGAAGATGTGGCTTAAGTGGAAAGCAGACATAGATTTTTTTGCTTCAAAGTTGGTGTCTTCAAAGCATCACGAGACACTGTGGAAGTACCACCGAGCCCTGGGACTGGGTGCTGGCAGGTGCTGCAGGAGTGGGGGCAATGGAGGGCAGTACCCAGGTGTTACTGGAGAGGTACTACAGTGACTTGGTTAAGAGCTCAGATATTGGAGCCAGACTGCCTGGGTTCAGATTTGGCACTCCAGTCTTTCTGGGCCTCAGTTTACTCATCTCTAAAATGGGGAGACTAGTGGTAGCCCCCTCAGTGTTGTTATAAGGATGAAATGATCTGTCCCATGTAACATGCTTAGAAGAGTGCCTCCACACCACAAACACCACATTCTTACTACTGGCTGGAGCGTGGCTTTGTGCCACTAGACAAGGCCAACAAGGAGACCCTCCTCCCAGAAAGGAACAGAGGAGAACTTCATCTCACGGAGGTGAGGAAGGGGAGACCTCTGGGGGTGGCAGGCTGAGGGAGGTGCGGCTGGGCCCCTTTTTCCAGGGTTTCTCCCTGTGTGACCCTGCTCCCTGCCCCTCCTGGCTGGCCCCACCTCCCACTTGGTCTCCTCAAGCCTTGGCCCGAGCTCCCGCTGCTCCCGCTCCAAGGTGGCGCAGCGCGCTCCAGCTGTTCACGCTCCTGCAGCAGCTGTGCAAAGTCATCCTGCAATTGCCGCTTCTCCTGCTGCAGCTGGAACACCTGCAGCTGCAGCAGCTGTTGGCCCGCTGTGCCCGCTGTGCCTGGGCTGCACAGTCCTCTCGCAGGGCCTCGCGCTCTCGCTGCCAGTGCCGCTGCCGCTCCTCGTATGCCTGCAGGCGAGAAGACAGACCCAGCTCCTGGGCAGTTTTCCCAACTCCCCACTCAGTGTCTGCCTGGCGGCCCACTTCTGAGGGCTCAGGAAGGGTGTATTCCATCAAACAACAATAGTAATTGCAACAATACTAACTGCTTTTATAATGATCATAGAAACAAACACAAGAGCAAGCAGACCGGGCTCGGTGCCTCACGCCTGTAATCCCAGCATCTGGGAAGCCGAGGTGGGTGGATCACTTAAGCTCCGGAGTTCGAGACCAGCCTAGGCAACACAGCAAAACCTTGCCTCTCCAAAGAACAAAAATTAGCTTTGGTGTGGTGGCGTGTGCCTGTAGTTTCAGCTACTTGGGAGGCTGGGGTGGGGAGGACTGCTTGAGTCCAGGAGGTTGAGGCTACAAGGAGCCGAAATCGCGCCACTGGCACTCTAGCCTGGGTGAGAGAATGAGACCCTGTCTCAAAAAAAAAAAAAAAAGCACTTGGCCGGGTGCAGTGGCTCAGGCCTGTAATCCCAGCAGTTTGGGAGGCCGAGGCGGGTGCCTCACTTGAGGCTAGGGGTTCGAAACCAGCTTGGCCAACATGGTGGGAACCCCGTCTCTACTAAAATTCAAAAAAAAAAAAAAAAAAAAAAAAAAAAAGCAAGCATTTATGTATTAGCATTTCCTAGATACCAGGCATTAGTCTAAGCACTTTACACCTTTTGCCTTATTTAATCCTCATAACAATCCTATGAAGCTAGAAATATCCCTGTTATAGATGAAGAAATAGAGGCTGAATAAAGTTAAGCAACTTGCTCAAGTCCAAAAACTGGTATTTAGCAGTGGGAGGTTTGAATCCATGCACTCTGACTCCTTTCCACCCCACAAGTTTTGTTTTTTGTTTCTTGTTTTGAGATACAGTCTTGCTCTGTTACCCAAGGCTAGAGTGCAATGGCAAAATGTCAGCTCACTGTAACCTCCTCCTCCTGGGCTCAAGTGATCCTCCTACCTCAGGCCTCCCAAATAGCTGGGACTACAGGTACATGCCACCACACTCAGCTAATTTATTTTTAGGAGAGATGGGGTTTCCCCATGTTGCCCAGGCTGGTCTCAAACTCCGAGCTCAAGCAATCCGCCCACCTCGGCCTCCCAAAGTGCTGGGATTACAGATGTGAGCCACCACGTCTGGCTATTCCACAAATTAAACCAGACAACTGGTGGGGAGGGCAGGGGGGTCACAACTACAACTACCCAACCCCTCTTCCCTGCTAAAATGGAAATGCCCCTTTCATTCCCCAGGCCTTGGGATGTCCTGCCATGCCCCTTCCCCATCATTGCTCTGACCACACCTGGCACATGGTAGCCTCATTCTCGTCCAGACTGCCCGCAGCTGCTGAAGCTCTGCCTCCCGCTCTGGAGCTTTCCTTCCAGGACACAGTGCAGCAGGGCCTCGTCGGAAGGAGGTGGAGGCGGGGGTGGTGGTGAGCGCTCCCCACAGGAGCTGCTGTCAGGGGAGGCCCGGGTACCACTGCCCAAAAGCCCGGCAGCCACACGGCCCCCCAGGGAGCCTGTGCTCTTGCTGGAGGGGACCGGCCACTGTCTGAGTGGGAGGGCCCAGTAGGACCCCTCGGGCTGGCCCAGGCAGTGCCCCTCGCCCAGAGCCATGGGAAGGCAGGTGCCCGCCTGGGGAGCTGGTGGTTGGCTCGGCACCTCCGGTGCTGTAGGTGGGCAGGCTGGACAGTGAGTTTCGGCCAGAGTCGGATAGCGTCCCTGATGGGCAGCCACTGGCCCAGCCACTAAATGCCAGGGGTTTGTCAGCAGCTGAAGAGGAGGAGGAAGAAGAGGAGGAGGAGGCAGGGCCCCCAAACAGCTGTGTCAGGCTGCCCTGGCTCCCAGACAGCCCGGTGGCCCGAGGACCCATGAAGCTAGGCAGGGACGGAGCCCCTCGAGGTTTGGGCAGCACTGGCTTGAAGGCTGTTGGGCGGATCAGGATCTTCTCCATGTTCTGAAATGAGGTGCCATGTGACAGTGGAGATGAGCTGCCCAATCTTGCAGAACCCTTATGACACTCCCTGCCCTCCCATCTGGGGTCCCCAATGCCCATATATTCGTAACAATTGCGGCCACTGGTGGAGGTGGCCACCAGTGTCAGCTTTGTGTCAAGCAATCTGAAAGGTTTATCCCCATTATCTAAATATGATCACTATTCTCATATTACAGATGAGGAAATGGAGGCTCAGCAAGGTTAAAGGCCTTGACCAAAGCCAAACATATAACTGGTGCAGAAATAACCAGAACATAAGCAACTAGCACTTAACAACTGTATACATGCCACATGCTAGGCACTATGCTATACATTATTTGACCTTCACGTCAGTTCTAGAAACTGAGGCTCAGGTTAAGTGACTTCCCTGAGGTCACACATGCAGAATGAGAGAGAGCTGGGATTAGGACCCAGGTCTGGTGAATCTGGAGCCCACACTCTTTCCTCTATATAAGCTTCTAAATTCCAGTTTTCCAAGGGGGACTCCCGTTCTACCCAGGCCCACAAGGAAGAGCTGGTCCTCACCTTCTCCAGCTTTCCAGAGACAGGGATGAGCTTCGGTGGTGGGCCGCGGAGGTGGGCATTGTGTGCCCGCTGCTCTCGGGCATCCTCAACATCACTGCTTGGGCTAGGGGGTGACTCTGTCCGGAAGTCCTCATTGATGTAGGTGAAGCTGGTGACAGGGACAGCCTTCCTAGGAGGCACAGCTGGGCACAGCGGCTCCTGTGCCTCATAGCCACCCCGCAGCAGGCCATCCTGCTGGCGGAAGAAGGTGGGCCCAGG